CACGGCCCGGAGCGCCGCGTTTCCAGGGGCTCGCTATCCCGTGGCTCCGTTATCCCGTGCCTACGGAAGAGCAGGAGCTGGTCAGAAGCTTCTGCCATGACAAGGGCCCGTTAAGGCCGTGCCCTCACGTGCACGCTCCCTAACGTTCCTGAGCTGACACCAGCCGCTCCCGCCCAGGGGAGGCGGACACTCACCTCTGCCACCTTGAGACTTCTGCAGCGCTGCAGCCACCTTGGCTGAGGCTTCTTGCCCTCTCACAAGCCTGCTCCAAATGGGCTCAAGCAGGCTCAGAAGTTACTGAGGGCAACAGGAAATAGCAGATGTGGCCACACAGCCGTACAGGCACACAAGGAGAGGGTAGGGCCCCCAGTGCTTTAGGAAACACAGACAAAAAGCCAGGGAGCGTGTCCCAGCCTGCCCCAAGCCTCCGTCAGTGCTGCTGAACTAACACACTCCGCTGTGTGCGTGCTACCTGCTCGAGTTGAGAGTGTGTTGCGGCAGCGCTGTGCGGAGGGACTCGCATGTCTGCAGTCGGCCAAAATCTGCTGAAGCTGCCTGTGTATATCTCTTGGTGCATGTGTATCTTGCTGTGGCTTTGTGCTGGTGAGGTGAGATTAGCTGCTCAAATTGACACGAGGAAGTTTGCCTGAGCGAGGCGGAAGCAGAGCAGGCTGATAACGGGGAAGTCGGTTATTTCACGAGAGCCCTGCTGCTCTGTCCCAGCAGGCAGCCAGCCCTCTCTCCGCTTCCATGCGACAGGAGGGGGCTTGTTGTGGCAGCTGAAGCCCGTGTAAAATCCACAGGCAAAAGGGGAGAAGAAATGCTGGCCTTTTGCTGTCAGGATGCCCTTGTCCTGCTCCACCAGAGAAGGGGCCCTCTGCACCCCGTGGAGCTGCTGTGGGCCAGCACTGTGCTGCAGTGGTGTTTAGCACGTCCAGTTGTCCCTCTGGCTTGAGAAGCACAAGGAAGCTGGTCGGTGCCTGCCTGGAGAGGGAGCAGTCTCCCAGCGAGGGAAGTCTCTGAGCAGGCAGGGGATGGTGACAGTGACCTGCTTTCCCCATGGACAAACCAGGCACAGCACTGGCCTCCCTCCCCATTTCTGAAAAAAAAAAAAAAAAAAGGTAAAAAAAAGGTTCAAAAGAGCTGTGAACTGTGTGCCTCAGCAGCCCGGGGGTTGCTGGACATTTCGGCTGGCAGGAGGGGCAGTCACAGCAGGACCTGTGGCCCTCCAGGCGTGCTGGTGCCCCTTTGCAGAGCTGCTGAAGAGCTTTGATCAAATCTGAGAGGAAAGGCCGGGCCCTCCCTGAGCTAAGGGTTTTGTGGCACAGGGTTTGCATAGCTGCAGCACCAAAACACGAGCGATGGGCTGAGGGAAACCCAAGCAGCAGGGCCACATGTGACTCTCTATCAGTAGCACAGCAGAGGGTGAAATCGTATAACGGGGCTGATCATGGGCATTCAGGGAGCAGACAGCTCTGCAGCGAGCTGGGGACACAGCCTTGGGTCACATACATCTCCCCTCCTCTGCCACAGTGATCCGGTACAACAGCGACCTGGTACAGAAGTATCACCCTTGCTTCTGGATTGACGGCCAGTACCTGTGCTGCTCCCAGACAGCCAAGAATGCCATGGGCTGTCAGATCCTGGAGAGCAAGAATGGCAGTAAGACACTAGGCACCCTCCCCTTTCCCCGTCCCCAGCCCCTGGGGACCACTGCAGCATGACGCCGGGGATCTCTTCTCACCTTAGTCCTTTTTCTGTTCTGAAGGTTTAAAAGTTGGGCGGTCGCATCGCAAGACAAAGAAGCCTCTTCCCCCCACTCCTGAGGAGGACCAGGTAGGGGCAGCGTCAGCATGTGGGCTTGCCCCAAGGTTGGGAAAAGCTAACACGCTCAATGACTGACAGGGCGTTGCTCAGAGATGTACAAGCCAGGGCTCTGCTCTGGAGGGGGATGGTGCCCTAAGGGAGAAGGAGCTTGACAAGGGATGGAGCCCAAAGGCCTGGAGGAAAGTCAAATGACCTCACAAGGAGGAGCTGGGAGGATGGAGAAGCCCTGATATAGGGTGGAGGAGTCAAGGTTAAGCCAAAAAGTAGAGAGAAAACACTTATACTTTGTGAGGATGGGTCTCCAAGGAGGTGTGTATATATTGTATATATATATCTATATATCTATATCTCCAAGGTTGCAATAAAAAGCGCTGCAGGGGGAATGGTCTCCTGGTGGAGATAGATGTGAGAGCTGAGATGAATGATGTGCTGACCTGGCTTGAGCCCACTGCCCTGCCAGGCCTGGGGAGGGTCTTGCCTGGGAAACAGTGTGTCTGCCAGCTTCACCGTGTCCCATGCTCTCCCTCGCTCGGGAAGATGGTGATGAAGCCCCTGCCTCCCGAGCCAGCCCCCAGCACAGCAGGAGAAATGAAGAAGGTGGTGGCCCTCTACAACTACGTGCCGATGAATGCACAGGACCTGCAACTGCAGAAGGGCGAGGAGTACTTCATCCTGGAGGAAAGCCACCTGCCCTGGTGGAAAGCCCGTGACAAGAACGGGTAAGAGCTCCCACTGCCTGCGGCACTCGCCCCATAATGGTGCCCTCTTGGGGTGCCAAGGCACTGGGGGGCAAACGCACCTCTTCAGCATCGTGGGGGTTAGGACAGGCTGCCTGCCTGTGTGCGGGCTCCCACGGGGGATGGCCCGTGAGGAGGGTGAGGGAGACTGAAGAGGGCTGTGGTATCAGCCCTCCCCGAGCATGAACCCAAATGGGTTTGTGCCAAGGTTTTTGAGCCCATTTCTACTCAGCCTTCTGGGACAGGAACCTGCTTTCCCCTTGGCCTCCTCCATCAGTGTGTGACCAGCCCCTTTTCTTCTGCAGGAGGGAAGGATACATCCCCAGCAACTATGTCACTGAAACTAGCAATTCCCTGGAGATCTTTGAGTGAGTAAGAGAAAGTGAAGGGATGTGGCAAGTTGTCCTTGGTCAGAGACTTTTTACATTCAGTTCTGTTAACCCACGCAGCCTGCGAGCCCAGCCTGTCTGGATCGCTCTCCCCCTTGCACGCCCTTTGAGAGCTTCTGGCCCTATGACAGCCATCTCTGCCCTGTTCCTGGCACCGCCCGTCCTGGCTGGGCCAGGGTCAGCCCAAGCTGGGCACAGCGGTGATCTCCCTGATGGCTGTGTCCCTGTTTCAGGTGGTACTCAAAGAATATCACTCGGAGCCAAGCAGAGCAGCTGCTGAAAGAGGAGGTAAGTGTTGACTCCCGAGGCTGGGTCCTTTCTACACACCAGCCCTCCATGGGCTGCTGTCATGTTGTGTCCACCATCGGACCAGGCCTGGCTTGCACTGGGAGGCGAGTGTCGCCCCAACAGCCCCAGGAATCATGTGTACCCCAACATGACCTCCTCCTGGAAGGCACTTCAGGAGGTGGCCCTCCAGGCATGGACTCCTCTGACTTATTTCACCCTCTCCAGCCATGCTGTTATCTTCACTCACTTCAAGTTTCTCCACAACCACCCTGTTCCCCCTGCCCTTTCTGTTTTAGGGTAAGGAAGGGGGCTTCATCGTCCGAGACTCCACCAGCAAGACAGGGAAATACACAGTCTCCGTCTATGCCAAGTCCTCTGTGTAAGTGGATCTAAGAACAGCTTCCTCCTACCTCAGAGGGTCCCTCCAGGCACCCCTCACCCCCCGCCTGTCCTCCCCATGCTGCTGACCCCACATACTGTCTCTCCAGAGACCCCCAAGGCACGATCCGCCATTACGTTGTATGCTGCACCCCGCAGAACCAGTACTACCTGGCAGAGAAGCACCTGTTCAACACAATCCCGGAGCTCATCACATACCATCAGCACAACTCTGCTGGTCAGTGTTTGGGAGACGGAGTGAGGCCAGCGGTATTGTTACTGACACAACAGTATCCTCACCATCCTGGGCTGCAGGCAGGAGGCTTGTGTTCCCTGCTGCAATGGGGTGGGTAAGCGTGGTGTGGCAATCTGGCTTTTTGTGTTTCAGGGCTCATATCCAGACTGAAGTACCCCGTGTCTCAGCATCAGAAAAGTGCTCCTTCCACAGCTGGCCTTGGCTACGGTAAGCTGGCCTGGGCTACTTCATGGTTCCCTGGTTGCAGGGCTTGTCTCTATCAACAGTAGCTTTCTGGGGCTGGGATCCTGGCTGTCCCATGGCAGCAGGGCTCACAGCCTTCACAGGAATCACTTCCCAACACTCACTGGCCCTCTGGTGACAGTACTGACCAAGAGACACCACAAGCTACTTTGCTCCTCATCCCCTAGAGGAACAGGTCTCAGATTTCATGGATTTTTTTGGATGTTTTTTCAAGCAGCACATGCTTGTGAGCTCTTCTTGGGCTTGCTAGATCAGATGACTGGGAGCATCCTGCAGGGAGGTCACCTGCACCCACGTTACACTCACACTTTCTGTCCTAGGGTCGTGGGAGATTGACCCTAAGGATCTGACCTTCCTGAAGGAACTGGGGACGGGGCAGTTTGGCGTGGTGAAGTACGGGAAATGGAGAGGCCAGTACAACGTTGCTATCAAGATGATCAGGGAGGGCTCCATGTCAGAGGATGAGTTTATCGATGAAGCCAAAGTCATGATGTAAGTGGTGAGCAGCCTGCAGGTCAGTGCTGGATATGCCTTGCCAGAATGGCTGCTCTCCTGGGTGGTGTGGACGAACAGTCTCAAGCAGCCTCACGCTCTGCAAAATGCGTGTGAGAACCTACTGCCTTTGTGCTGATTCCCCCGTGAGCTTTTCCACCGCTGGCTGGGCCAGGAGCACTTTCCCTTCACCAGCTCCTTCTTCCCAGATGCTTCTTTTGCTGCTTGGCCTTCTAGATGCTCAGAATTGCCCTTCTTGTTCCCCACACAGGAACCTGTCTCATGAGAAGCTGGTGCAGCTCTATGGAGTCTGCACCAAGCAGCGTCCCATCTTCATCATCACTGAGTACATGGCCAACGGCTGCCTCCTGAACTTCCTGAGGGAAATTCGGCGGCGGTTCCAGCCAGCCGAGCTGCTGGAGATGTGCAAGGACGTCTGTGAAGCCATGGAGTACCTGGAATCCAAGCAGTTCCTGCACCGAGACCTGGTAGGGCTGTGGCTGGAGGACACATCTCCAGCTCAGTGACAGCCACAGCGTGTCCTGCACAGGGTCCAGCTAGTTCCTCAACATGAGGAGAGGCAGCTCTGCAGCCTTCTCTGCAGATCATCCCCCTAAGCTTCCCCGCCCACATAAGGGTGGGCAGGATGCTCTGAAGTCGCTGCTCTGCAGGGAGTTAGCAGAGACTGCAGAAAGGGCAGGGGATGGAAAATGCATTTTTGGCTAGGGCAGGGTTTGCATTAGGCAGCACAGGCAGCATCGCTGGCTCAGACATGAAAAGGGACCTCTTGACTCCCATGAAAAGCTGAGCCTGCTGTTTGGCCTTGGGCTGGCATTGCCGGCTTGCAGTCCTGCTAGGTGTCGTACCTGATCTCCCCCTGGTGCAGCTTTGTTCAGGCAAAATCCCACCAGGGAAGTCACCTCTCCGTAGATCAACAGGATGCCTGGAGGCCTCTCTTGCTATCTTTGCTGAGGACTTTGTAGCTTGCCCCAATCCAGGTGAACCTGCAGGACAAAGTGAGGCAAAGTGTTAAGTGGGTGGCGGCGAGATGAAGTTCCGGAGGGATGGAAGAGGCAGCAGCAGGTAGGGGTGACTGCCTCCATCTCTCCATCCGCAGGCTGCTCGCAACTGTTTGGTGAATGACCAAGGAATTGTGAAAGTATCGGATTTTGGGCTTTCCAGGTCTGGTAGATACGTCTTGTGTCACCTTCCTGTCTCAATCCCCCATCTCCTTCAGTCTTTTCTACACTTCAGTCTTTCTCCCCACCATCCTCCAGCTCTGCTTTTCCTCTGTCTTCTCCTGTCTTTCCGCTTCATCTATCTGGCTCAACCTTCTGCCTCTCCACTTTCCACCACCCCTTTCTTACTTCTCCGGTCCCTTTTACCCCTCTCTTTGCTGCTTCTTTCCCCCACCTCTAAGTCTCCTGCCTGCAGCTTTCTCTGCATATCCCCTTTTTGCTATGCTTCTGTATTACTCTATCCTTTCCCCAGTCTTGACTAACATACACTTGTTTGCAAAGGGACATGTTTGCCTGTTGAAACCCATTTGGAGTGCAACCTCTGGTCACTCTGAGAGCTGTCGATTCCTTTTGGGCTTGGTCAGTTGCGTGGAGGAGCGAAATGTGAAATCCAAGACAGGCACCCTGATCCATTTATCTGCTGCAGGTACGTTCTAGATGACGAGTACACAAGCTCCATGGGGTCAAAGTTTCCTGTGCGGTGGTCTCCCCCTGAAGTGCTTCTGTACAGCAAGTTCAGCAGCAAGTCTGACGTCTGGGCTTTTGGTAAGAGCACAGCATTAATGACTCGGGGGTTGGGAAGAGAGGGTGCCCCAACAACAGTGAGCTCCCCTGCAAACTACCTTCAGGCACGGGTGCTCCCATGCCATGAACCGTCCCTGCTGTTTCCTGTAACAGGCGTTCTGATGTGGGAAGTTTACTCTCTGGGAAAGATGCCTTATGAGAGGTTTAATAACAGTGAGACAACAGAGCACGTCATCCAAGGCCTGCGCCTCTACCGGCCGCAGCAGGCCTCAGAGCGGGTCTACGCCATCATGTACAGCT